TGGCATTGCCGCTTTGCGGGCCTCTTAACGTATTTCGCGTTCTCGTTTAACCTTCAGGTTCCATTTTAATCTTCGAGGTTATATTTTAAACTTTCGGGTTCTATTTTAACGGCTTTACCATTTCAAGACCATCTCTTGGTCTCAAATTAACAACATCTTCGTTTCAAGCCGTCTCTCGGCCTCAAACAAACAGTATTGTCGTTTCACAGTCAGTAACGGCATTCGCCGTTTCAATCCATCTCGACGTCTAAACGTCTCAACATCAGCATTAATCCGTTGTAGGTCTCCGGCGTGAGCATCAGATCTGGCCGATCTTCGGGCCACCTTGGTCACCGGTTGCTTCTTTTTTCTCAGATTTGGCAGTCATAAATAACCTTTGGGTTCAAATTTAACATTCGGGTTCTTACATTTTAACCTTCAGATTTCTACATTTACCTTCGGGTTCTCCTTTGAAACCCTCCCGATATTTAGTAAATAATAGGTTAAATGGTCCGGATCGACATTGGAGTTAGGAATGTTTGTTGGCTTACTTGCTATAAGTGGGTGTAGGTTGAGCAAGGAGTGAGTAATAAACTATTTGGTAACTAATTTTTTGTATATATACCACATTGAGATGGACACAATTATATGCTACCCAAGATTTTTGTAAGGGATATGTGAATGTGAGCTCTACATCATCCCCTAATAAATTAATATAGATCATCATCATCCTTTCGTCTCTGTGGCAGCTTGTGAAAAGAAATCCCAAATGACAATAGTGAGTGAGAGACCGAGGAGTGTGGCACTGTAGGTAGTTAGAGGTGATGATATAACTCGTGCACTAAATTGTTGAGGGTCCGTTTGGATGGGGTATTTTGCCCTGAAAATTGGAAGAAAATATGTTAAAATGACAGTTTTTTAACAGATTTCTCCCAAAATTGCCTTTAAGATGCGATTTCTGTCAGAAAGTTACCATTTTGACAGCTTTCCTCCTAATTTTCGGTGCAAAATACCCCATCCAAACGGGCCCTGAGTGTGTGAGAGTTGGCTTAATTTGAAGATAAACCTACCACTGAATGCCAATTGGTATGAGATTAATTTTCCTCTCCAACTAGTGATAACTAGCCTACAAGAGTCGGACTACTTTTCTGATGTAAGACGTGATAATGTAGAGTTCTTTGTGTGTGATTGCAATAAGAAATCATGAGTTTTTAATTTATAGATACACTATAGATTTTTTTTTTAATCTCATGTAGTACAAAAATAAAATAGTACGACACTCGTGGTCTAGTAAACATTTTCATTTTCCTGACTGTTTCTTTTACTTTTATTATGACAAAATCTGTAGTCTGTTTATTGTCAATTATTGATCCAACTTAAATATAAAATTATAGTAATAGCTGAGAGAGTTTAATATCAGTAGAGAAACTTTTTAAGTACTCTCAATAAAGTTCATGCTCATGTCTTATCAATAAAAAAAGTAAATAAATAAAAATCTCATTGGAGAAATAATTGGGTAGCTGTGGTCATAGCATGGGATAGAAGCTTTATTTTCTTAATTACTCTCATGGTTTAAAAAAAAACACACACACAAAAAACTAATTAATATTGCGTTCAGATTTTTCTATTATACTTTCTCTTAATTTCCCCTTTTTTGTTGGGTAGCATTTCATTAAGAGGAGACGGTAATATTAACTCGGAGCGGGATAAATTGAATGTCAACTTCTATCTGGTGAAAAATGATGGACGAATGATATTTGGAAACAAGCAGAGCGATAATATCATCTCTCTCTGACTCTGTCACTTTGTCTTTTGGAATGGAATCATGGAATATATACCAGCTACACTTCAATAAACGCTTCAAGTTATCGTCAACATTATCAATTTGGAAAATGATACCGGCACATCCCCAACCACAACTCTAACCACATCCTCTCTCTATTTTGCTACAGTATATTAGGCCCCACATGAGATTTTAAAATTTTAAAATCTCATGTGAGGCCTGATGCACTGTAGCAAAATAGAGAGGGGGTGTGGTTGGAGTTGTGGTTCGCCGCTCTATAATTTTTTGCAATTGTGGGTGCATACGTTACTCAAGTACAGTGTTTCAACAATTTGTCTCACTGCACGGACAATAATTGTCCACATTGTTGGGGGACACACACACAAACTTATGCGTGTTAATATGTATGTCTCATGTATGATATAAGTATATTATTTGTATCTCAATCATTATGCACAATAGTAGGATCCATTGTTTATACTACTTAATTTATGTGCTCCCCTGCAATTTTTGTTCCCTTGTAGTGTGTCACCAAGGTCTGGCACGATGCCCATCGCCCTCAAATTTGATTCTGATTTTTTACTTATAATATTGACCAGTAGTACAATAAATGAGGTTAGAGATACAGTATAGTTTTGTATTTAATTTTTATTATGAATCCCATCCTTTTTATTTCCACGAGATATTGTTGGTTAGGGCCGGGGGGCTATATGTTGGATTTAATCTAATAAATCTATTTGTGGGCACATATGATTAAATAAATGTGTATTGTTATCTTTCAGGATAACCCACTAAAGTGATCAATTAAGTTGGGTTAATTTGGTATTTAAATAAGTCATGGGGTTATATGTGCAGATACCAGGTTGTAATTGTGATTTATTGAGGGGCTAAATTACAAAAGTACAACATCTATAAATAAGGGGTTATGGTCCCTAACCTAGGGTTACATTCTCTAATTCTCTACACCCCCATCTAGCTAGAGAAATTCGGATTTAGAGAAACCCTAAGGTTAGAAGATCCAAAACTCATCTCAAGGTTCATCCATGGATTCAGGTATAAGCTTCCGCTCTTTTGATTATTGTTAATCTCTTTGAATTAATCATGGCTATATGGTTTTAGATCTCAAGTTTTGGTTTAGATCTAACACTATAATCATGAAATTTCATCGCTCGACATATAATTTTTGTACTATTAAGAAAGATGAGAATACTAACCTCATACACAACCACAAGAGGCCTTTTGGGTATATTTGTAGTCCCATTAAAACAGTCTTATTAAGTAGTTTTGTTATTTTTATCACTGAAAATATAATATTTTAGATGACATGTTTTAGAAAACAGATAATTTAGAGGACGAAAATTTACATCTGGGTAGCATAAATTGTATGTAATTGCTCGTGATAAATCAAAAATGCTTAAAGGGCAAAGAAAATGATAAGTGTACTACAAGTCTACAACAGTTGTACTATTTTCATACTCCCAGACATAAAAAAATGAGGTCCATAAGAACTTATAAGATCATAGTATGATACTCAACTCGTGTCTCTAACAAGTATCATTCTCATCCTTCACCACTGAGCAAAGCCTTAATGAAGACTACAGGTTTCATACCTTCCATTATGATTTAGAACCACTGGTTATAGATTAGACACGAAAAACTAATTAGGAATATCATCTTGAGCATTAGCTGTCATCAGCTTTAAGATTAACACAAAATGACTAATATAACCTCCCTTTTCTCTGCAAATTTAGCTGTCAATGGAGCCCAGTGTTGGATATTGTCTCCAAACATTAGTCGCTCATAACCTTGGACAAATTCTAACGACATATATAATAAAATTATTGGAGATGTACCTCTAAGAGAATGAACATTTCAATTCAAAGGACAATTTAGATTTTTCTTTTTTTTTATAAGAGTGGAGGAGGATGCATATGCTATTATAGACCAATATCAGTTTGTCTTATGTCATGTTTGTACAAATATCTCTTTTGTGGTCTACCTGTTTGCTTCAATTGGTCTATAGAAATTTTAGTTTCTCTTTACTATATGTATGGTCGGCATTGGTTCTTCCCTATATCTATGTCAACGGTGAATGACGGCAATACATTCTCTTCATCTTCGTGGATGTTTGGAAGAAGAAGGTTATACATCACTAGTAAGAGAAATTACTTTTTCTATTTACCAATTTCAATGGATACAGTTCGTATCCTACTTTTGTAAAGATTCTTTTGTTATATTTCAATGAACAGGGTATGTCCCTTGTTTTTCTCTCAAAAAAAATGTTAAAATATTTGCCACCCACAAGCAAAATTATGTTTCATTTGCTATTGCCTATCCCTATGGCTATTGGGTTATCTTTTTATTCTGAGTCACATGTTAGTAAAGTCATGAGAGAGATTTCGAGTTCTGTGGTACAAGTCGGGTTGCAATTTGATTTGGACAATGCTTGATTAGCTTTCTGAGGATTTGAATTCTGTGGTACTAAGTTAGATTTGCAATTTGTTTGTTTGCGATTTGGGTAGGGGGAAAGCCTGCCAAAAGTGCAGCTTTTGACAGGTTTTCCACCCAAATCGCCTCTTTTGGGTGGAAAGCCTGCAAAAAATTGTACTTTTGGCAGGGTTTTGACAGGCTTTCCAGCCCTTTCCCCCTAAAAAAACCTCTTTCCAAACAGCCCGTGAATGTAGTTGAACCATTATTGCAGCCTTTATCAGAAATCTTGCAGCACATTGTTCCCATAGTGGTCTTGGGGTATCAAGAATCAAGATTTGGAGTGTTAAATAGTAAAACTCTAAAGTAGTATTCAATAATTTCTTTATTATTTAATAAAGTCAATCTATAGTCGTCAACTGTTCTTTTCTCCTTGTCCTAGAATAAGTGATACAACCATTTTCACACCTCTTATATTTGATTGATAGATTTGTGCAATAGTGATTGCATTTTATATATTTTTTTAATATTGGTAAATCACGCCGCTTAAGAAATATAATACAGGCTAGGATGGGTGTGGAAAAATTACAATTTGCTAATATTAGATAACAATCTTTTACCATATGCGAGTTGCTCATATAGAATAAACATGTAGAATTTGACATACATTCAACATTACCAAACTCAGCCTCTAGAGGCTTGTGACCAAATTACCTGTCGCTATATTTCAACTCTGAAGCAACAACGTTAACATTGGGGTTTTGTTCATCATAACAAACCTACTCATTGTTGTATTTTACCAAACAAAACATTGATTAAAAGATTAATAAACTGGGAGTTATTTCGACATAGCAGCCTTGATTCCTGAAGCAAACATATTCTTCCCTTCAAATGTAAACATACGCTGAACCCCTTAAACCACAAAGATAATAATGCTTAAAAACCAAAGATTAAGGGGGAAATGAAGAAAATGTATTATTACTTTTTGGCCAATTACTGATAAACAGCATGAGAAATACACATAAATGTACAGAGCAGAGATGATCTACTCCAAGGTTTTAAGGAGCCTGAACAAGCCGGCAGCTTCTCTGATCCTTGAGAACTCAATGCAGAAAGCTTGAACTTCAATGAAAAGATCTTGCACTGAAAAGTTAACAGCATCAGATGCATTTTTGAAAGTTCAAACATTTATGAAAGCAATAAATTTAGGGGCACATTAAAGGAGAAACATGATGATCGGAGAATACAAATATAACGCATACCAAGAATAATAAGCCTTAGTTGAAATTACACATAAATAGTCTAAAGTTCCACATATTTGACACATATCCGGTGTTATATTTTTCTACATAAAAATACCTAAAATTTGTTTCCTACAGACAGATAAGTAACCAGAAGTTATTTTTGCAGTAGCCCTGTTAAAATAAAATTCCTAATAACGTTCTCTTAATTTAAATCTCAAGGAATTAAAAAAAAGGGCAGCAATGGAAGAGTAACAGGGGTCGATCATAATAGAGAAAGTAGACAAAGTGAATTGGTTTGTTTATAATGAAAATAGAAGCAAAGAAATGGAAGAAATAGGAAAACATAGATAAATAGTGGACGTGAAGGTAATAATGGTAGTCTGGTGGAGATGATGGGTTAAACTTTATCATCTTTCAGCAAATGTTTAGAATAAACAAGTCAGGGGAAATATGAAAGGATAAAAAGTTGGACGAAAAGCAGTGATGGGTAAAGTATGTGCAAGTTAAGTACTATTAGCTTTGGAACCCAGAAGTCCAATTCTTCGTTGAATTAGTACGTGATCGATTATTAGCTTTTTTAAAGCATGTGTAATCAAACGTATCTTAAATACATCATCTGAGATTTATTGGTGACAATGTAGGTTTTTACTAGTGATTCCCCCCACCCCCACCCCACCCCACCCCCCAAACCAAAAAAAAAAAGCGCAAGTGCTATTTAAAAAACAACTAATACTAGTGGTTCAGGTCTCATTCTGCTCCGATGGGAATACCTTCAATTCAAGCCTAAATGAGGCCTTCAGTGTGTAACTGCATTTACGTACTTCACATCGCAAAACTTACTAGATCATTCACGATCTAGATCAAGGCACAAGCATTAACCCATGAACTCATAATTCAAGAATAAAATCAATCAGACTTACCATTTATGATCTTATTGCGGATAAGACTCTGTAGAAAAACACAAACCAACCTCACCAGTCTGTTCTGCATGTACTTGTCCTGGTAAAGGGCATAAGCATTCTATTAGAAGCATAGTTCAAGTAAGTGCTAAAATCAAAATCATTGTCAACATGGTCGCATACAGATTAAGAAAAAAGAATGAAGATTGTGATACACAACTAGATTCTGTAAGGACTAATTTCATAAGTTTGCAGCAAACTATCAGCAATTTAATGCAACTGCTAAAATTATAATGGATTGACAACATAATTCAGAATGAGAAGGAAACAATATCAAATTTATTTATAAACGCGGTTTAATTCCATAAGAATTCATTTGACATGGAAAGTTGGCCACAGAGAATCAGTGTCCCTAACTGACCAGCACAGAAAATCTGAAATGTACAATAGAGAGACAGATGTTTACATGTTTGTGTTTACATGTTTTTACTCTAAAAAACACGACGTTTTACACACCACTTACAGTGGACACAAAAAGAATGATACTGGAATACTTAACACCCAATATTGGTCCCAGTTCTGTCCAGCTTCCTTTTTTTGATAGTGCAAATCCGATTTATTTTTTGCTTTTACATGAACTTTTCCAGTCATGTGACATAGCGTCGACTCTAATTGGAGAAGTTTGTCTGGAGTAGTATGTAACTAGAATACCTATGAAGGAAATTTTATTAGACAAGTCAACCATCAATGCCTTTGTAGAAAAATGAATGGCAGCTGACAAAGGGATGTTGAAATGGACAGGTGGACATATGCTCTGCCACAATTCATCAACTGTCTGCCACAGCTTCCCACTACTTGAAGATGATTAGCCCATACTCGCAACCCATATTAGTTAGAGGCAAGGCTCTAACTAATATGCATTCAAAAACATCCCTCACATATTTTATATATTAAGATTGAAGAAAGATAGCATCATTCTTTGCCAATTGCCGTCAGGGTTGACCAACATGTGCAACACAATCTAAATGCAAAACTAAACACAGAATTATTTGACAAGGGAAACCTTGATGTTTTCGCAGGATGATATGCAATTCGTAATGTACATGTGCACAAACTCTGTCGGGAGCTCAACTGCAGTTGTAAGCCTGTTTACAACTTCCATAGAATGAAGACTCATCTCCATATTAACAAGAACTGTGAAATACCTGTGACACAAAGACTATCGCATAACCATCTACAACAAACATATCATAACAAATACACTTGGAAAAGCAGTTAAACGGACTCACTCTGCAATTTCAGCAGAATTCATCAGCTTTATGAGAATGTCAACAGCAATAAGAGGGTTATTTTCTACTAGTTCCTGGAAACAAGAGAATAGCTCTTCAGATTTCAATTTAAGATGTGAATCAAATAATTTCATATAGTTCATAACAGGCAACCTACAGGTAACTTTCCAGGAGTAATACCACAGTGATAAACGAGCTTTGGGTCATTCTTAAGTTCTGCCAAAACTTGCTACAAGATGAATCAAACATTTTCACGTCAAAAATAGAGATGATTTGCAATATTCACAATGGGATACCAAGTAAACTAATAGTTTTATGAGAAAAGTTCCATCAAAGATTGTGCCAGAGTCTAAAACGTGAATGTTGATTAAGATGGAGAGTCGTGAGAATTGGATAGAGAACCTCATGCTGAGCAGGCATAAGTGGGCCTTTCAAGGCTTTGGCTATCAGATCCCTAACAGCAGCCCCACGGCTAGTGTCAGCACACATGCCATGATCCCATAATAGCTCATGGTTATTGTCCGGATTGAGCCACATGAGCTGGCAAAGAATCATAGAAGGTTGAATCAACAAGAAGAAAACTAGTACTAGCTAATTGAACTTTAATTTGATATGCTTGCCTCTCCATCAAGCACTGGGAGCCTTGGCGGCAATGGTCTTATCCATTGGGGACCTAGGCCTTCTAAAGACACTTTCTGAAGCAAACCAGTTACAGAAGAATCCCTATCCCCAGACCCTATTCTTGGTTTAGATCCTGGCTGTGAAAACTCAAATCTGGAAGAAGAAAAAATTTATACCAAAAGTTTCTCCAATGAATCTAACCAATTTACATAGAGATGCAGCAAATATCTTCAACTATAGTTCACTCAATTGACATACTCTGCTGAATTCGGATCACAGCCATGAGGAATATCTGGATCTGGTACAATATTTTTTACAGACGCAGACATGAAATCACTATGATAGGGCGCAGGTTGCGATTCATTACCCTGTTGCTTTTGCAACTCTTCACGCTGCAATAAAACCTAAACCACCAGAAGTTATTCTTTATTAACAAAACAAGAGCCATGCTCTGAAGTTCTGAACTAAATCATCAAAAGGAAATAAATAACTGGAAAGTGATCTATATTTCAGGAAACAGATTTCCTTAAACTCAATGTCTACACACTCACATATGATGAGGAATCGAATTCCTTCATATAATCTGCAGCTGACAGCTTCAGAACCTGTACAGAAAAATCTAAATGAAGATTGTTGACATTGTGAAATTGGAACAAAAGAATGTAGCCCTAGACCAGTAAAACATTATGACAACAATAAAGTGATTCAAGTGCAAGCACTTCAAGTAAAATAAAATAACGCAAGCTACAAAACAATGTGAAGAATTCAATTTTGGGATATATCTACCTCAGAGGGAGAAATTTGATGTTGGTAAAGGTATTTCCATGTGATAGAGAGGTCACAATTTAAAGGCATTACCTCCAACAAACATAGTGAGAGGAACTTCTCCCCTGTTAAGAGGAGAAGATGTGATGCCTTCCACTGACTAACATGAGGATTCTCCCTGTTGGGAGTAAAGTGTGGGAGTTGTGCATTCTATTATACAGAAAGTAAATACAAAAGCACTAGAAAAGGGCATCCCTCGCCCTCCCTACTTATCAAGCCTCTATATAAAAATGTCAACTTCATGCAACAATCATGTTGTAGTGACTCTAGTGAGACCTAATTCCTTACATATTTATCAAAAGTTGATGCGGCTAGAATCCACAAGGATGTGTTGAAATATTCAGCTTGAGAAGTGGAGACTAGAACACAGGAGCAAGCAAGTCTCCATTCAAGGTAAATCATTAAACATCATATTATACAAGGGGAAGAAGTTGATGAAGGAAGAGAAATAGGATCAGTTTTGAATTCTAAATTTTAAAACTTAATTCAGGGTGACAATGAGGGAGCAATGCATGAATATTCTTTCTTTTTTATCAACAAACAGGTAATGCATTGGGGGTTTTCTGAAATAACTTAACAACTTTGGCTGTTGTTTCAAAATAACAAGATATTTTGCTGGTATTTTATTTTATTTTATGGGAGGAGGAGGGGTATATCAAAAGTATCTTATCAAAAAAGCAAAATTATAGATACGAGTAGTAAACTACCTCTTTGTCATTAGTTGCAGCAATCGATCCCAACAGCAGTTGAATGAACACCTTTTCCAGTTGCTCAGCTGCAGCATCACATGCTGCCTGTTTATAACATGCAATTAACGCATAAGAATTTTCCTAGGTAGGTAATTACAATTTAATCTCACAATATGGCACAATTACAGCTCTTGATAAATCAAAAAGCAGCACTGCACCAAAGGGAATGCATCCCCATAAACATGCTTTTTTTTGTTACAAAAATGTATAAAAATAGACTTTAGATGGTACATGGTATCCAGATTCAAATCTTCCCAACCACGCATTTTAAAAAATGGATTAAAATGATACTGCTACCTGACTCCAAGTTTCTGCCCGTGAAAAGGTGCTCAGCCTGCAGGGACATGTTAGAATAAAATAATAACTCTCAAGTCCCAACCCTCACCATGGCTTCCAAGTTTTGGTGCAGCAGAAAGGATTTTCAGATGAGTAAAGCCTCATCCATTACGATTATTTAAATTCAACATATGTCCTCAGCAATTTATAGTACATTGAAAATAATTAGAAGGACAAAGTTGGAAAGATCTAGAAATAACCTAACTACCATCCTCTAGTTGATAACTCTCCCCAGTCACCCTATTTTCTAATATTAATATACTTTATATCATTTTTAAGAATATTTTCTAAAAACCTATTCATATTAATATTTGATTTTTAAGGTATTAAAAACATCTTTTACACACCAATTTACTATGTAAAGCACGCATCACATGCACCGGAGAACTAGTTTACATGAAAAAAAATCATGATATACAATGCCTTGCATGACTAAACTTAGAACTAAAATAAAACTATAATGATACTTACATCTATGAGAAAGGAAATAAACGGGTTTGAGGAAGGCGGCTGAGAGGAATAGCTCTGATGCAGAATAGCAAAAGCGCCCAAACGCTCACTTAATTTTAGCATCTTCCCCTGGAGATAGAAATGAATGATCTCATAAAAGTCAAATATGAAATACCAGCGTTTTTGAAATCTTAGAATGAAATATACATCAGCAAGTTACTAAATATTTAGATCATGCTAATAGATTCCAAGTCACTGAAAATCATATAGGTCAGACAGTAATAACAAGCACAGTAATGGAAAGTGGATATAGATATGCAATAACAGAGTTAAGAGTAAACTTAAGCTCGCTGATTATTTTCTTCAGATTTTTTTTTTTTTTTGGGGGGGTTGGGGGGTGAGGCGGGGAGACTTTGCAATATTTACTTTTCAGCGCTTAAATGCCATTATTTTCTGTGGAAATTGAGTAGAAATAATACAAAGACTACTTGAACTGGCATTTCAACCTGAGATGTCATTTCTTTATTCACTAAGTACTTCAGGAATTAGTTACGAAGAGCTCATGTGAAAGATTAAGACCGTCTTTACCTATCAAAAGGGGGGTCAATGACCAGGTAGAAAAATGATAAGATGTTGAAATAAAACCTACAGAGTTATCTATTTCAAGTAAAAACTTCAGAGGAGTTTATGAAATTCACTCAAAAACTACTAACTAAATCTCTACTAAGCAGGTGGGTCTATAATTTTCTATAATTTACCCAAGAATTTGAGAAGGTGCTTCTTTGTTGCATTTCATGAAGAGGAAACTTGAGCATTTGGGTTGGGCGATGTACCATGAAGAAGTTTCCAGCATTTAGGTAACACATGCAAAGACAAAAGAGATTTGAACACAAGATTTTTTTTAAATGAAAGAATTGAAAACCAAGTACCACTATTCACGTGAAGAAAAACAGATTGAAATACAAGATTCCTAGAAATGATGAATTTAGAAGAAAGAACCAATTTGACCATTGTAATACACTAAATTAAACATAGGGTAAAAAAAATCCCCTTCTTTCTTTTCAACTTATTCACATCAATGCAACTAAGCACAATCGAAGAAAACGTCAAACATCCTCGCATGATTACTAAAATAAAAACTTTAACAGCTTTTAACTTCATTGAACAAACACTACAATTCATCATAAAATATCATATATTTACAAAGTAAGCAACGTTAAGGGAACATTTTGGTTCTAAGGAGATACAATCAATAAGTTCCTCTCTACTCCAAAACTGAGCCTTTAGGGCTCAATCTAAAGCCCTAGGGATTGAATCTACGACTGAAATTTAACCACTTAGATCGAGATCGAGAGCTCTTGCCTCTAGGAGAATCGCGATGGCGCAGCAGATCCTGAAGCGGGAATCGCGCGGGAACTGGGAGCTGAAGTCCTTGAAGATCTCGTCGAAGGATCGAGACTCCGACGAGCTCAGTAGAGAGAAAACGGCCTTCGATTCTTCGACGCCGATCATCGCTGAGATCGAAGAGCGAGAGTAGGAAGGGGAAGACAACGAGGGATTTCTCTCTTTCGGAGAGAGGAGAGATTTATTAGTGGAGATTTACTCAGATTTAAGGGAAGCGGGTTGGGTTGGGGGTTTTGCAAACGGGTCCTAATCCGCTAGGTCAAACCGTACCCGAACTTCTTCTTTCTTTTTTTAACGGTATGTGTGCCGCCGTAGACAATTTTTGTCCATTGTTTTTTCCCCCTAAATTTATACAAATTAGTAATTTTGGCAGGAGAATATGAGGAGATTCCCTCGTAAATAGTAATGTGGCTGGATATGAGATTTGTTCATTATTATAATATCAAAGAAAGAACAAGGTTTTATTCAATTTTTTTAGATTCTACTATGTATCTAACCGTAAATGATAGAATACTAGTCATATGTCATATGATGCATGTATATATTATTTTCTTTTGAAATTTTATACTCTCTGATGTAGAATGTGCCTAGGATGCATTAATGGAGAAACTGGATTGTCAGATGCCTAAATAGAGCTCTGCCAAAGAAAATTAACTTACAACGAATAACAAGTTGTATCTTTCAAACCGTACATCGGAATTGCAAGAGTAATGTATGAAAATATGGAGTCAATCGGACCTATCATTACTCAGTTTGCAGCCATCTGCTTTGCGAAATTCCTTCTAGATTGATAGATATTGGACTTTTTCGGTTTTTTCCTATTTTAGGTAATGGTTTACGAGTCGGTTTTGCTTACGAAACAAATTCAATTTGATTTCAAATTTAACCGATTGATTTTCTCAATCATAGGGAGTTTTAAAGGACAGTTTTGTTATTTCTATTTTTGGTTAAATTTGGGGTCCTAATGGGAGTCTAATTTACTTTCTATTTAAGTAGAGGATTGTAAGTTGTAGAAGCATAACTTTTTTATCAATAAATTTTTTTTCATTAAATTTTCATCATGGATTCGAAGTTTTTTGTGGATTTGAAGACCAGTCATTATTGATTCAGAGAGCAACCCTTGATGAATCTCGGGGTTTATTACTAACGTGGTATGTTAGAGCACCTCCAATAGTTTCCCTAAAAATTATCAAAAATGAGGAAACAAAAGTCATATTCTCCAAAATATTTTTGCTCCAACTCTAACAACTTCCTCATTTTAAAGAATCCTGTATTTATTACAATAATAAAAATATTCTACATCTTTGACATGAACTTTAACAATAAAGATTTAGATATGAAATTTTTGTTTTTTGCCCCCTTATTTTATAGTGTCTACCGCTTTGATTAGTTTGCATAAGGGGGAAGAGGAAACATTTATGACAAAGCTCTCCCCAAAATTTTGAAGAATGCTGTAGATTTGGGGAAGACTCTCTTTTTTTTCTCCTCTATTCATATTTTGGGGAATTTGATGGAGAATCTGTTGGACAAAAAAAACTCAAAATTCTTCAAAAGTGAGAATACCAATAAAATGGGAAAGCTATTGGAGATGCTCTTACATTCTTAAGCAGATGGACAAGTCATATATGAGTAATTGCTTTTAATTAGTATTGATAAGCATGGGACGTCTAACCCATAAATGGGTCGATTACAAATTTGATTGTGGTGGGTTGGATCATTCCATATTAGACATGTGTATTCAGAAAACCCAATATGATTACCATCATATCTAATAATATCTCCCTTCGAAAAAAAAACTTGTGAGGTAATTGAGAGACTAAGGGGTTGTTTGTTTGCATAAGGGGGAAGAGGAAAGTCTATCAAAAATGTTAGTTTTGACAAGCTTTCTTGCAAAAATGCTTTTTTTAGAGGCGTTTTTTCAAGAAAACCTGTTAAAACTGACACTTTTAGTAGGCTTTCAATCCATTTCCCCGTCGAAAAGAGAAAACCAAACGCGTCCTAGTACATTTATTGCATTCGTTCTTATTTCTCACTGAAAACAAATTTCAGTATTGAATAATTGATAGTTATAATGAAAAGTATCGGGCCAGTACACTATTTTTTAATGGTAGTGATTGCTACAACACTATTTTTATATTATTTTTAACCAAAAAAATGTTAAAGCATACTCTTTAAAAAAATTCGAAATTAACGACTTATCAAGAGAGCTCGCATCTCTCGTTCTTATATAACGTAAAAGTAGTATAATAGAGAGTAATGCGGTTGTCGTTATTTATTTTTTTAAGGAGGGGAAGGGGATTCACAATTTTGGGTGAGTAATTGGCTGCGCGAGGACACCGAGATTAGTCGGTGGCTTTGGCGGTTTGACATGAATGCCATTAATTTGTGAGATGGAAAACGAGGAGTGACAGCTCGCGACTTCCGTCGCAAGGCTTAAAGCTGAAACCATCGACTCATCCACACGCCAAAGCCATCGTCTCCGTGCTACTCCCGGCGTCGACGACTGGACCATCTTCAGATCGATCAGCATGATCGATGGAGAATCCTTGACAAAATAGGCCCACAGTCGGCGAAAAGGTAGATATAGACAAAGACCGAGGACAATTATGCGAATGCAATTCTCGCTTTTTAGCTAGCGTGTTTCGGCAATTCAATCAAAAAACGGAACAGGACTGGTTTTTGTCCGGCTCTATTTTAAATCAGTTCTAGGTTGAAGGGAGAGATACAGTCCAAACTACAACTGAATTGATGGACCATGTTTACCCTAGAAAAAACTGGGCCAGCTCTTGAAAACAACCCAAGATTAAATAAAGCTCCTCTGACATGTTTATTGTTGGAACTTTGTTACGATGACCCCCAAAAATATAGGACTAACAGGGGACGTGTGAGGTGTCATCCTCCTATTGCATAATGAGCTGATCAACATTAAGTTTTTAATCATTCGCCCGCAGATAGACTTATTGTTAAAGATAGACATATGGAAAGGAATAGAAAATATGTGGTCTATCCGCAATCCTACTATACTTTTGCTCCGATCGACACTCGTTACTCCATAAAACAACTAAAAATCTACGACTACACCAGCGATTAATCGCTCTTTTTTTTAATTTTAATTTTTGACCAGCAACAATTAATTATTTCAAGAAGAACCCTCGATCACTTCATGCAGCTCTCCATGAACCCCCTGATCTCCTCGACGACCATGCTGCTCTCCTTGACCTCCGGGAACACGTAG